GTCTTTGTCGTGATAAAAAAACAACCATCAGTAAATAAAAAAGCGCGTGCAACGTCGACCGTGGAGGGTTGCAAAAAACGTGTATGACTTTTATTTACCAACCGAACAAGTGCGGTAAAAGAAAAGTAGAAAATATGTGACGGGAAACAATGTATGGAAATTTAATACATATTGTTGTGTACTCGACAAAGATGAAATAATATTAGAGATAAGAGATAAGTGATAAGAGATAATAGATAGTATACAATTGATAAGAGATAAATGATAAGTGATAAGAAATAAATGATAGGAGATAACAAATCCACGATTCAATGTTTTTTCATGGAGTAGAGAAAATAACTAGGTTTTCACCTGAGCTAGTCTAATAATATATTATGTTAGTTTAACAGTGTAACTCTTTATCATAATTAATAATATTTTAATCTATATTATATGGTTTGATGAACTCGGGTGCGTCACAAAGGAACCGTTTGTGTGAAACTATTTATACATATTACACGTGATATGAAATTCCGGTACTACAACAGCTGTAGTAATAATAATATCAAATAATATTTACCGAATTCTTCGCGACATTCTACGACGGCGGGATTCTTTTTTTGAATTCCCGTCCTTGCATTATTATTATTATTATTGCATAGCGCTTAATTAGATCTGAAAACGACCGACCGAGTGTACGGAATTAATATCAAGCGAATGCGTATTGTGTTTTAGAATTTTAAATTTTACACCTCCGAGAATCTCGTTTAGTAAATCTCATTAAGTCACAGAAGTATAATATGTACGTTATATTGATATTTCTTTAAGTATAATAGGAAATTAATTTACAATAAAACTGTAGCGATAAATGAAAATAGTTGGCAAAAACATTTAATCGTGAAAATGTTATCTCTTATCACTTAACTGTAATCTCTTATCTCTAACTGAATGTGAACCAAAATTATGAAGTATCATATTATGTTTAATAATAATTGTTGTGTGAATTCATTAGGGTGTTTAATATAATAATAAAACTAACCTACATAAGCAACACGTGTACAACAGATAATTACCCAAAAGAAATTTTACCAAACGAGTTGAAAACACGAGCTGGCAAATTTCTCGGTGAGATAAAATATTGCGTACATTTGTATTTCTCCACCAAGACGGTAGTAAGTGTTGCCTGAAATCAGTGTTCAAATTCCTTTTCAACCGATTGATTAATAGCACAGTTCAGTACAAATCTTATCTATACCTATATATATATATATATTATACAACCGAGCTGTCGGTATCGTCTTGTGTGTGTGTGTGTGATAGTGTTCACCCGACCTAGTTTAGACACACAGATAATTGATGAAGAAATCTTTGCCCGGTAATTAATGGTTTTATCGTCGGACGCGTGCGGTAATTGGTGGTGTGGAAAATCTCGTTTTTCGCAATATCTATTCCTTATGTGTACGTGTAAGGGATTGGAAAATAGCACCACAAAAAAGAAAAACCTCTAAAAAAAAACTGTCTGTTGAAAATGCAACTTTTACAAAAAAATTACACAATTTTCAACTGTCAATACAATGTGTGCCAGCCGCTAATTTTGTATAATTAATGTCAATGACTAAAACATGTAATACCTTTACAGAGGCGTTGGACTTATAAATGGATGTGTTTCAGTATTGATTTAGTTCTTAATTTCTTTAACAATTAACTTGGTAAACGTTAATACCAACCCGCTGCGACTGTTGGATCATTTTGGCTGTCAATTTCAATGCGGTATTAAATATGCAAACTCAGTTCGATGACTGACTGATTCTCAATTAATTATCATCATATCGAATGTATAATAGCGAATTATGTGTGCGTTTAATTTTCGTATTAATTATTAATAAACGAATATTTTGTTTAATCTGATCGGTTTGATCGACAAGTTTTGATCTGACGAATATTATTATTTTTTTTACAATTTTTAGTATGCTAAAAAAATGTCCTTAAGTGACGTTGGTGACGTAAATTAGTTATCACACGGATAAGGAATCTCACAGTTGAGACACTTAATGAAATAAGATCTCTGGCGGCCAGTTTCCGGATTGTTTTGGTGTTTGAAGTTTTTGCTGATTCCCAGATAATATAGTACCATATTGTTCGTATTGGCTTCAAACGGGCAACTGTAAAGAAGAAGCTTGTTTTTTTATTGGTATTTTGCCCAATCCTCTCAAATAAAATATTTAGAGTTAATATTTGACAAGCGCCTCCTTATAGCTGGTCACCAAACTTAAACGACAAATATTTTAGTCTGCTAAATGAGTATAATGTGTGCAATTTACCATGTTTACACATTGCTCTATCTTGTGCACGCTACAAAGCGTTATTACGGTCATATTATAATAGTCGGTGGCCCGGGTTTAGTTTTAACCAAGGGATTTTGGGCAAACTCTGCCAATAGCATCCGGTTACTGCGATCGACCCCCCGGTGGGAGTTTAATGCACAACGACATCTGTGTGCTTAGGAATATCGTTAACAGGAGAAGAGGGAGCGAAATACGATAGCCAGCCAGGATTAGCTGGACGACAAATTCGGGATAAATGTTTTTACTACTGTCGTGTCGGCCGATTTATAAATGACAGCAGCAGTTCATATTAAATATACACTTAAAACAATATTAATGACGACAAGTACGGTAAACGACCGTGCAATATGCATTCAACGCCGACCCAAATGTCTGAAATAGCTTACCGATAATAATAATAATACTATTATACACTCTGCTGCAGAGTTCTTATGCCGACACGTGAAAGACATAATATAACGTCCCCTAAGAAGGTTGAAAAATCGGTGAAGTGATCGTGGCACGTTTAGGATATTTTGTCAATACTAATGTTATTATGTTTACCAGATCTTACTGATACCGTTTAGTACTCAAGTTTTCCTCGTTCGGTTGTCATCAATTACATTTGCTCGGTTGACAACAACAAGGCAAATGCGTAGATTGTATTACTTTACCTAATTTACATATATTAGTTTATATACTAATAATTTAGCAATAGCACAATATGTTGTTGTTCAAATCTATTAAAGTTACCAAATTATGTGCTTAACCGTTGGACTAAATCTGTAACTTGTACACAGTGTGTAAATCTACAAAGGGTTTAGTTATTTCAAGTATATGTTTGGACCCTGGATTCACTACGGGTAGGGGGGCACACGTTTAAAAGTATTTTGTTAGGTTAGTGAGTACCTACTTAAGCATGATATACTCAAATGTTGAAAACGATACCTGTACAAATTAATATCTATTTGAAATCAAACAACGCCCATACTTAACGCCTAGGAATCCTAACCGTGCTCGTGTTATCTTTAAAAAATCCAATTAAAGGACTTCAAGACTTGTGCCCCGAGACATGGACTCTTACTGTAATAATAATTTTATCGTTTAAATAATCTAAACGCTATTGGAACAACGCTACGGCTGTCATATTTTGCTCTTTGGCAAGTTTTTGCGAATAAACGTCTCTCGAGAGATTTATGTTGTTCTTATATAATATTATTATTATATAAAAGCAAACTCGGCCACTGATATTGAACGCGCCCTCCCTCCTTTCTTGCCCGCCCCTTGCACAACGCAGTATTAAAATATTATAATGGTATTTGCGATTTGAGAAACTGATAAAGTAATTATTTTGCGCTCGTTAACGACCGTCGAGGGTTTGTGTATATCGAAATGTGTATGAATAATAATATTATTGTTATTATTATCACATTAAAACGGTGTCGGTCGATTGTTTTTCGCTCGCGGGGACTTTGTGAAGTTTTCCAAGCGATTAAAGTTAACGCGAGACTTTTAAGAAAATCGTTAAAACTCTCTCTCGACGTTTGGCGGGCGATAACTGAAAACTTGTAGAACGTCTTGGAACCTCCTCTTCTTTTCTTTGTGTATCATAATTTTTTGTATAAATATTTTTTTTCAACATGGTACAAGAGTATAATACACTAATTCACGAATTCTATTGTACCTACGGTGTATATTTTGAGAGTAAACCAACGTTTCTTTGCCGGAGTGTGATATTCTGTTGGGTTACAATAATACAGCTTATTGGTACCTATACCTACTATGCTATAAACCAGCGCTTGCGTGTCCAAAACAATAGCCGTGACGAATCTAACGTCAACATCTCCCCCTTGCCCCTTGGAATACAAATAGCCTGTTCGGCCGTCGTTTTGTTTATGACCATAAAAAAAGAACAACGACGGCCTGCGAGCAAACTGAATACGGTTTTAGCTCGAGTTAAAACCGAAGAACGAGTCTTGTGTACTATGTTAAATTCACATTGACAACTGAATTAGCGAAATTATCTAACAGTCGTTGTCGCCTAACTAACGGACCGTTTGCGTTGCACTAACAAAACAGTATCCCTTAGGATGATAAATTAACTCAACAGTTAATGGGTATTGTCTAGGGAAGAGAAGGGCAAATTACCAGCCGATTCGATTGCCTAAATGGGTATCGCTTATCAGATGTGTCCGATGCCGATCACCCTTCTCGGATACATTTTGCAAAACTTATTTCCATCGGCTATGACCGGAAAACTTTACTGTATAATATATTATAAGTAAAACCCGGTTGCCTAGGGTGGTGGTGTAGGCGGTGGTTGTGTATAACTAGAATATCGCCGTGGAATATCTACATTTCATGAGCTCTGTTCGGCGCAATATGGTGGCCGTGTATCCAAAAGGATAGAGGAAGAGCTGGTGGATTTTTAATAACCGCCTTCCAAATCCCATACAAACGCGTAGTCAACCTTTAAGTTATACGATGCCGGTGTGTGCGGCAAACGGTTGTGCGACAGCTGGTACGCCTTTACGGTTTGATATATATATATATGTATGTATAATAATAATAATAATATTACAATTTTGTGTATTTCATACTACACAGGTATACGAATGATCTCAGTATTGCTCGCAATTTATACCGCAACATGTTCTGGGGATTTATTGCATATCTGATTTGTTTTTTTTTGCACAGGTCAATACAGAAAGCCTCGGATCACGGAACACCCGACCGACATGACTGTGCCCAAAAACGAACCCATCACTTTGGGCTGCAAAGCCGAGGGCAGGCCCGAACCGACCATAGAGTGGTACAAGGACGGCGAGCTGTTGAAGATCCCCCCGAACGGGGCCGCTGCCGGCGCGGGCGGAGACAGCGGCTCCAGGTCGCAGAAGGTCATCCTGTCGGACGGTTCCTTGTTCTTCCTGAGGGTGGCGCACAACAAGAAGGAGCAGGACAGCGGGGTGTATTGGTGCGTGGCCAGAAACGTGGCGGGCACCGAGATCAGCCGGAACGCAACGTTACAAGTAGCAGGTAAGACGATTGATGATGATATAACAATACGAGCAATACCTATAAAAAAAAAAAAGCCGTCGAGCCAGCTCTTAAAAGCGTTGCATACCCCTCCACCCCCCCCCCCATCATGGGAAGGGTCAGATTTTAATTATTTTTTTGCATAAACGTTTAAATTGTAGTAGCACGGCTAAGTTGTATTTAGAGTGACGAGGACAATGTATAGTAATTGCAAGGGTGAGTGGATAAAGTTCCAAGCGTTTGATTATATTATTATATTATGGCTGAAGTGATGCCTCCTTAACGGTTTTGAAATTGTCAGTTAACACATATTTTATCCATACTCACTCCTTCAATTCGAATATTAAATATAGCATAGCTTTTTTTTTTTTTTGTCAGTACGATTCGAAAGGTGTCGAAAGCTGCCCGACAAAAAAACGCCCCTTAAAAAATATAAAAAAGCCATCATAAAACATAAGTTATAATTAACCCATCGTTAGGTGTTTGGCGCAAACCCATATATCGTTCAACACACGGCGGTTTCATTGCGTGTTGGCCGTCGGCAAAATAGAAAATAAAATAAAAAAAGATAACAATATTTAATTCGTCATTTATATTCGCTAGCACGCCATTGGCATTAATTAGTATTGAATTTTTTTTTTCGCAAACGTCGCCTTTAATTAGAATAGTACCATACGCTTTGTCGTCGTCGAGTTGTGTACTACACAATAAAAAACATATTTTATATTTTTATTGTTAGAAGATAGATTGGATTGTGCTCGAGATCAGAGATGGCAAATCCGGGCCATTAACACTAGGCGGAGGAAATCCATTATGATTTCATTTTTTTTTTTAAGTCTTCACAACGTGTAACTGTTTTTTATCATTTTTTTACGATGTCTCTTCTTTGGCACTATAATACAGCTTCCGGATTTTTATGAACCCTGGACGCAACTTTCTTACACTTTACTGTGTTTTTACGACCTCGGCCGCCTTCTTCTTTCACGGCCTAGGTTTACAACTGCAAAATATTTTTTTATATTACACATCACCACACACCCCCCCCCCTGTACACGGGATAGGAGAGCCTTTAATATTTGTCATACTGTCGTACACTGTCATTTTGCACACTGACTGGCGAGTTAACCGGATACATACATACTTATTGTTATTAGCACAAATTCTAATTACAACACCGCGTTAACTATACTGTACCCGTTGATTGGTTTAATTAACACTAAAACTGTTGTTGTTTGATTTAAATTCAAGAATACTGTGCTGCTGTATTGGACGCTTATCGACTATTATTATCAGTATGGAACGTGAAATTAAGATTTTGCAAGCCTGGACAAGTTAACAGATTTAACTGTAACAGTATATTTTTATTGACACTCGGCCAATCGGGGTTCGTTAGGCGCCAACGACCGGTTTTTGAAAGTTCTTGACATTTGCTGCACCCGGACGGGTCGGGTTAGTTTTTTCTGGTTTTCCGCTTATACGTTTACACTTAATATACGTTGTATATACAGGGTGATCTGACACTACACACCATCAGCTTGAAAACTATTAGGTGCAAGGGTAGGAGGAATTCTGGCCGTCCGGATTTTGAATCTGACTTTGTATTTTTTTTTTACCGGGAAAACAAAACGCGGTTTTCCCGCGGGAGGTCATTTGTTTACTCTTCCCTTTTGAATCTTCCCCTTTTGGCGAAATATCTAATTAACGCCCGGCAGGCACGTCCAGGCGTCTGGACGTGCACCAGCGTTGCCGAGGGTCAAAAACCTTTGCCGAAATGGGTTTCCACCCGGTGTTACGATCCAGGTGAATAAGTGTTACGACCGTGATGATTAATGAGGAGGTATATCGGTGCGGCGGTGGCATGGAAGAAAGAGAGAGAGATATGTGGTTTCAATTATTTTGCGATTTCTCTGCGCTGTCCAGGCCGGAAGGATTTCCCGAGAGGATAATTTTGTATTTTTTTTTCTCGTGCGACGTTTCGGTTGATGTATGAGTGTGTGATGTAATGTAGTAGGAGCCAGAGTAATAATAATTATGTAATTACCCGAATTCTACCGAAAATGTGTTTGCTACCTTCAAATCTCGTCCAAGCCACATAATACAGAGTGACCGCAGTCGTCGCCAATGAAACTGTGCAGCAGGGCTTCCGAAAATATAACCTCTCTCTCTGTGGATTGCTATAACTCAACTTTGCTGTGTGTTGTGTGATACCGATCGCCCCTCCGGAAAACCAAGAAAGGGGAAGCGCATATCGTTTACCTGTTTGACTGACAGGTCAATTGGAGTCGCGTTATAACGACCTTATAATCATAATATACATGGTCGACACCAGAAGTGAACATAAATCCAATTTTGCACGTATCATTCGACTGTCGATCGGTGTGTTATTCTTTGGCATTATCCAACCGTCGTCTCGACGCGCGTTCACGTAATAAACCTACGCGATTCCATTAGGGAATAAAATATATTTCACATCATTTGTGTGCATATTATAGAAACCCGAGTCAAGGCGGCGGTATAATGTGTATGCACGCTGCGTTGTCTATATGTGAGGCATGGAAAGTAATGGTTGATACGTACACGTTCCCCTCGAACCGGTGAAGTGGGTATCGCTTTTGACAGTGGAATCTGCAATGGACCGTAACGCCGCTGCAGGCACCCGCTGTGTTGTGTGTTTACACAGGGAAGACGGATGCAAGAAGAGGTGCAGCACCTTAGTCCCCGGAAGTGTAGGGGAGGGCAGAGTAAGTTTTACCGTTTCCTAGGCAACCCCCGGCTCCCTCTTTTTGTTACTGCATCCGCAGCCGCCGCCGCCGTTATATTATATGTCCGTGGCTTCGTAGCCTTTACCACCTTGCTTGCTCGCGACCATTAATTGAACTCGCGAACCCCGTGCCCTGACGTTTTACGCCAATACCAATTTCTTGTAGGTATAGATCTTTCGGGTCAAGTGGTACAGCCTAGGAAATTGTCCATTGAGGGGGTGTATTTTGGTCACAAAGATGTGTCAATCGCAATCCGCAGCAAATGCTTAAATAATAAAGATAAAGCCCAGGCTTTATTAAGTAAATGAAAACAAAACGTTTCTATGACAACTATTTTAGGGGTTTTTACCTTTGTTAGGAGGATTGAGCTAATCCTCTCTTCGGCCGCGTCGCCGGACTATGTCGGATTATGCGACAACATCTACGGCGGTTGTAAAACAATGTCGCCCACCACGCTGACTTCTAAATTTAGGTAACTACTACCGTACACCACCGTAGTCGTCCTGTTGTTAACCACGAGAGATGACCGACAGTCGGGCCACGCGTTACAATGCTAATTTCTTTGGCCGTCACGAGAACATTGTGTACTACTATGTACCACGAACGTCGTGTGTCGACCAGCAGGGAAGAGAGGACAAATAAAATCCGTGTAACGTCGTCGTGCAGATGGTCTCCGAGAGAAGAAGAGCTGTTTAGATGATAATTCAACGTGTCCCGGCTGACACCTACCTAGTTAGCGATATGTGGAATATGCGCATAATGATCGGTGGCAGTAAAATATAATATTATGTGTTATGTGTATACTTCCTACGCGACCACGTCAAACAGTGATATATACAGACGTAGACGACACCCGACAAAACGTCAAAGTATATACCGACGACGTCTACCATCGAAACCGTCTTTTTAAATGTTGTACCGAGTTTCTTTGTGGCAATGACGCCAAACTCGAGCTTTGTAAACGACACGCATCCAACAGTTTTTATTCAAGTATTAGTTATTGCGTGTACAATGTTTATAAATTTATCAACGAGACTCTCTCGAACCTGTTGGTTCTGCCTTTGCGATCACAGGCTAGTCATGTCGGTATTTGACAAGTTCCGAGGGGAAGACTTGAACGAATTTTCGGGAAAGCTAAATCCACGAGCCCCAAACGTCGATACCTACCGTTCGAACCAATGTGGTGGTACATCGATTGACTAGCCGCAGCATGACTTCGCGGTACCGAGGACCCATTGTTTCTTCACCTCTTAACTCGTTTTCCGTATAACGCGTGTTCACGGAGACCCCATGCCACGGAAAAGGATGTCGGGGAAGACGTAGGTACGTAGGTCGTCGGCGGCAGCTACTTATTTTGAGTAATTGCGTTTGTACCGGCGAGACCGGCTTGTTCAATTATTGTCGACCAGAGCCGATAAATCATCGCCGTACCAATTCATTAGAACGATAATAATTCAAGTACGGCCGCCGTTGCGCATTCCGACCTAACGCTCGTGAACTACACTATTTTCTGTACAGGTATATAGTATACACACACACTGACACTGTGTTGTAAAGGTGTGTCCCATCTCTTTTTCGTTATCTCCACGTGGCGTAGGCGACGCGCCGGTCTTAAAATAAAAAAAACTAAAAAAGCCACCGGGTCAAGCCGGTTTACGTTCCCGAGGTCCGGCCTATAGTATCGAAAAAGGTGTTCCGTGTAAATCTTTTTTTTTTTTTTTACACACGTTCAAAGTCTAAAGGCCACGAAAAAAATTAAGTCATCCGCCAACGCTGTGGCGGTGTCGGTCGTCTCGCAGCTGCTCGGCAATGTTGTTTTTGCAAATGTGTACGATAAACCTATAGTAACAGCTGTTGCCTTGGCTCTGACCCTGTCGTCGTTCCATCCACAATAATGTGTATGCGTACAATAATAATAGCGCACCCCGTCCTGGTCTTCCGCACCAAAAAACGCACTGCGATAATCCCTTAACGGAATCGGTAAATTGAAAAAAGTCTTTAACGAGATATTGTACATTATTATTATTATTATATCCACAAGCGACGATGATAGCGGTGTATATTTGTGTTAAACGGACCATGAACACCCCCCCCCCCCCCGAAGGGGCAAAATTTAATCCATGCCCGGCTTCGGGGTGGTGCCGTGAACAACACATAAGCCCAAAGACTTGGCGAGGGTGGACGATGTCGTCTTTACGGTACACTTGGTCCGCGTGTCACATCCCTTAGTGCAGCTGA